GGTTAAGTGATGTTGGATCGATTAGAAACGTGTGAATACATACACTATGGCTATACGTTTCACTGCAACTGCCCACAACACAACATCTAAAACCTCTCTCTCAGAAAAAAAAATTAAATAGACAAAAAAAAAAGAAAAAACGCCGACCGAAAAATGTATATCGTTTAAAAGTATACTGAACGACCAGTGTTATTACGGCTCAGGGGTATGACTTCCTCTCACATTTTGTCATTTGGTGGCGCATTTTCGGCAAGAGTCGGAAATCTGGAAACAGTCGACCGTTTCACAATAGGTGGGCGTGGCTACAACACGAGAAATATCCCAAATTTACTTGGATACGAGTAATCATTTTCAGCAAAAAAATCAATAACTACCCTTTTCAGTGGGAAACAGATCTAAAATGGGAAACGTGAGGGTGGGCATTGCACAGGCACTTTAAGCCCCAAATTCAACTTTTACGAACAATCCATAGCTCTACCGTACTTGACCGCGTTAGCGCCCAGGGACCTCAACTCAGAAAATCATGATTTTTCAGGGGTTGGCACTTACCCAAGCACCCCCCTCGAAAAAGAGTGAAAATGAAAATTTTTATTCATCATTCGATTGATTATGTCTTTGACTAATTACGAAATTAGTTGCGTCGTCATTGATTTTCACAATGAAGCAACAAAAATGATCACAAAAAATATGCACATTTTATTACAATACTAATTACGTACCACCAGAATTTACAAAATTAAAAACATTAAAGTCTGTTGGAACACAGTCAAAGTCAAAATTCTCATCATTATCTCCACTAACGAAGCTGTTGGATCGCACGCAATCTCAATGAAAATCACTTTCCGCCATGATGCATTTGCAGATTTGACCTGCAGCAGCGTCCTTTGACCTAATGGGTCAAGTTGGTTATTAACCAATCAAAATGCTGTGTTGTACCGACGCAATTTTCTGGAAATTCCTGAAGACTTTCCGGTAACGCAATGCGGAAGTGAATTATCGATGTCGAAGTACGATCTGTTGGAATTGATTTCAGTGAATAAACGACATGGTTTTTCCAAAAAACTAGTAACTAGTCATTTTTGAGAGGTAAACTGAATATGGCATGAAATATTTACCGCATTTTACTTGTATTAACAGGTCATTGTCGAAGCGTAGTTTACACACGGTTAACGTGGTCTACGCATTCACAACATATTCACATCGGTCGATATCCACGTTGTACAATATAAAAACGATTACCAACATTCGTTAGGCAAGACCAAGTTTTAAATTAGTTGCATTTTGAAGAGGCTTTGCCGAATGTGACCCCAAATAAAAAACTTGCACAAAAGTGGGGGGTGGGCGCGTGCCTGGGCATGGGCGCTAACGCGGCCGAGTACGGTATGTATAGTCTGCTGTTTTTCGCATATCAGGTAATATGTTGCAAAAATTTCAAATTTCAAAAGCTAGAAGAAATGTCATGTTTTGTTTTGTTTGTAGATTGAATTCAGTGAAAATTATAGAAACTGAAGTAATTTACCCAAATTTGAGGAAGAAAAACAATTTTACACTTTGTCTGGTTTGTCTTGTTTGATTACTAGATTTATGGACAAGGATCTGGAGCAGATTGTAGAAAACATGTACAAAAACTGAACATGATGAGAGGAGAGATGGAAAACGAAGAAGATAGAGAGGAATTTGTTGATGGTAACACTTTAAATGCTGATGTTCAAATACAGGTATTCCTTTGCCACAATCTTTTTTTTGCATAAAGCTACTGTGAACATCATGTGACCCGATCAGTAGAACTCCTCCCCAATGAAATATTCACTGCTACAATATAATCCTGGCACAAACCACCAAAATTTGATGTTTAGCAATACAGTTTCGTGAAATTTCTTGGAAATTGCTATTACTTTGTGATATAGTTTATTATTATACATCCGTCACCGTAATGCCATAAGTTACAGTGTGCCGTAATTTTGCGGTATTTGACAGGGTATTTTCATCCTACCATATAAGGAAATGTAAATTCCAAATATGGAATGATTATGCGCATAAGTGTCCTTTAATAATAAAAGAAGTTTGCTGATTCTGTTCTGAACTTTTTGAATTTTGGCACTCCATGATGTATCTTTTGAGGGAAAAGATCTATAATAATAAGGTTATTACGAAGATACCTTGAAGTATGCACCAAGACTGTACAGCGGGAGTATCGACCGACGCACAGGGTTCAAATGCCCAAACAAAAATTGGGGTCACATTCACTAAATGTTTTTGAGAAACATATTATTTTACCCTTACAAACCATGGAGTTGATACATAAGACAGGAAAAGTAAGGTTTTTTTGCATCTCCAAATAACGAAACAATGTGTGTGGGGAACGTATTTTCTTAAGTACCGTAGTTTCGATAGTTTACCCTATGGAATGTAGGAGAATTGTATAGAAGTACTTTGTAATGACTTACTACTTACAAAAAGTCATTTTGCTTTTAGTTGTGATTAAATTTAACTAACTCGCAGCCATTTCATCTCAAAAATGTACAAATTCAACATGTCATCAAATGCAATGAGGGAACTGCATCATTGACTTGTTACAAATTATATTGTTGTTATTAACCTGAGATGAGCAGTTATCTGTTATAGCCTTGTACAATACAGTGAAAATGATTTTTCATTATTTATGTGTGTTATAAATATAGAAGTCACTAATGTCAATTAAAGTGGGAGGGCTGTCACCTGTGCACGTGCAGAAATTGAGTCTAAGCGACGATAACAACACATGCTGAAAATTCAAAGGCTCATGGGTAGACGCTTGTTTGTAAACAATGACACGCTATGGCCATCTGACGCCCCCGCTTTAAATTAAATGCAAAAATGCTATTAGTGAATATTTATTAGATGCAAATTTTATTTATTACAAAATAAATTTATTCACAGAATAATAAAGATGAAGACGAGTTGTCTTATGACGATTCCAAATGGTCTCAATTTGTAGATGATGATGAAGATAAAAATGGTCAGAAAAATGGAAACCATGGCGATGATGATGATGAAGCGACATGTACAATGGATAGGAAACATTTCAATACTGTTAGACGCGAGAATCATAAAAAATGGAAGAAAAGGTATGCAGTTGTATATGTATGTGACTGGCCCAGTCATGGTAATCTAGAAAACACCATCTGTAGGGCATACTAGTTATTTACACACTGTACTAGAACTTAATTTAGCAATTTGTCATAGATCTCTACGTAACCTGGAGCCAATCATGCTAATGCTCACATGTGTTATTGATCTGCTAAATGCATGACGTCATTTCGATCTATGCTTGTTGATTGGCTGGTTTGATTTAACAATCTTTAAAAAAAATTTAAAAATATTTATAAAAAAAAAACAGGTTAGTAGTCTCAAACATATGATATAAAACAACGTCCATGTCTGTACTAGCCATTCTCTGACAGTCAGTTTTTGATACTACTAAGCATGCACCCTAGATATACCTAAATTTGTAGGTAAATCAGATTATACTAGCTCTAATGTTTATTACCGAAATGAAATACTGTAAAATACTTTATTTTAGCTGGAATTAATTTTTGCTGAAAAGACATTTTGAGTGTTTTGTATGATATTTATTTTCACTGATTTTTGACAACTTGAATGTAAAATATAAAAAAAAAAGGTTTATTCGCCAGATTTTATTTTCACTGAATCATTCCTTCTGCGAAAATAGTGAAAATTAATTCCAAGTGGAAAAAAACTATTCTACAGTATTATTTAAACATGTTTATAAAAATACTTCAGTGTTAATCCCCAGAAATTTAAATCACTTTGGGGGTGCAAATTTACTGTAATTATTGAATTGAAATTGTGATGATTATCATACACAGTTATTCACACACAATGCTTATAGAATCAAGAAAATACATACCAGTATTAATGGCTGTCAGGATAATGACTGTGGCCAAGTTTAACCATTGTAGTTTTTTTAGGGATCTTACTGCTGTACTTTCTGAAGTCAGTGTTGTGTCAATAAACGTATTATTATAGTTGTGGGTAAAACAAAGCACTTTGGTGGTATTGCTAAATGCCAGATTAACTGCATCTCCTTATATGGGCGATGAGCCAGCACTTCACCATTATGAATCAGAGACACAATGCTATACATTATTTTTGAAGGACCTAGGATATCAATGTATGTAATCTCATTCTTAATTTTGATATACGTTTGCAGGCGATTACAATCCAATAGTGGAAATGATAGCTGTAATAATATTGGATACAAAAAACAAAAGGTATATTCTATTTCATTATTGATATTTACCAATTATCCAGTAACATGTGTCTCCTACTGAATGCAACAGTTAAAAATATTCCCAAGATGCATTGTATCCAAATTTCTGGGCTTTAAATAGCCGAAAATTATCAAGCATTTTTGTACATTCTTTTGTAATTGTTTTGTAACATCTTCCATCAACATCAAGATTATGAATTGCATGCAGAATTTTATCTTATTGCTAATTTAAATTTTAATGAAAATAAATTAATTTTGTCATTATCCAAACTGAACACAATTTTCTAGTGTCTTCTCCACAGATGAGAATATTTATACAATAAAACCTGTCTAAACTACCAGTAAGTACCGTAAAATCTGTATTAGTAGCAGCATCCCTAATAGAAGTCGCCCATTCTTTTGGATATTTTAGAACCAAAAATTCATCATTTCTCATATGTGTAGATTCTCTAATGGAAGCCGCATCCAGTCTACTGCATTGTACCATTTTAATAGAAGCAGAGGTTTCTAATACAGATTTTACAGTACTAGTACCATGTAATTTTTACTAAAAATCAAATATTTCTTTTTTTTTGCAAGTTTGAAAATTGTGAAAGATCTTCAGTTTCCAGGAAACAACAGGGTGCAGCACTGCAAGGACAGACTGGACATTCATTTCTAGAAAATTCTGCACCTGGTTCAACTTATCATAGAAAAAGCAGCCCAAAAGCCACACGCCATGATACAGGAAGCACAGTCAACTCCACGTCAAAATGGGACACTTTTCTTTCACCAGATGATCAAGAAAGTGATGCAGATCCCCATGATGATAATGCCTGTCAAAATGAATCATCAAATATTGCTACAACATATAGGAATGATTTTACAAGTCATACTCAAAACAATCCTTCACCTGAATCTCACAGTATTGAAAATAAAATGGATCAAGTTGTGACAGTAGAAAATGTTTCTAATGATATAAAACAACATGATAGACAGACTGATAACACACAGACTGCTTCAAAGTGGGGTATTTTTATAAGTCCCAGTAGTCATGGTGACACATCAGAATTGGATGCTGGAAAAGATCAGACAGCTACTCTTGATAGAAATAAAAAAACAAATTTTGTGCAGATTGCTTTGACAAGAACTAGGATCAGTGAAAAACCCACCCAAATATCTACTAATTTCCGTTTCAATAAAAACAATAACCGTTTCACAGTGGAGGATGATATTGATGATATTCTAGATGGTATTTAGAAAAGTGTTATTAATAAATATTTTAACATACCTTATTGTGGTTTTTAGAATTATTCAGACAGTCAAATTGGCAAGATTACTTACGACTTTGCAAGATGTTTTCAGTGCATATTGTCATTGCATATGATGTATGTAATTACTGTAAACCACTTGAAATGTTTATTTCATAATTTTAGAAAATGTTCGCAATAGTTGCTCTGACCTGTCAACTGAACAAACTCAGTAACATCTTGAGGAGCACAAAATTACATGATTTTCTCGTAACTCACAAAAATGTGGAATTAAACTATTAAGTGACAAGCTGTGGTCATCTGACGCATGTGCAGGTGACGACTCCCCCTCTTTAATAAATTGAATTTAGTAAACAGTTTGTGCAGTTGAATTGCTAATAATTATTTTACCTAAGATTGAATTGTTTGTATGTATTGAGTAAAGATCCTGGAACATTGAGTTCAATTTGTCTCTAGTTTTGTTATTTTTAGTCCCAGCATTTCTTCTTTCGCAGAATTTGTACTAAGAAGTGTTGTGATTCCCTCAAAAATAAAAAAACCTGAATCAGGTTTACTTGAATACAAAATGCATGAAATTGAAGCTAACATTTCAGTGAGAAACTTTTACACAATTGAGTCTTAGCAGGAACATTGTTACTCTGTCTGTGAAGCCATTAAAGATGGAGGGTTGTCACATGCGCATGCGCGTGAATCGAGTCCTAAGCTATGATAACAACACACACTAAGAGCGCAAAGGCTCATGGTTAGATGCTTGTTTGTAAACCATGACACGCTATGGCCACCTGACGCATGCGTAGGTGACTCCCCCGCTTTAAATAGATTCGTTGAGTGTTTACCGGTACCCGGCGTCTGTCGATCTATATGCATGTGAGCACAGACGTCAAGAGATCCACTCTTCAGAGTTCAATAACAATTTTTGTATATCTAGATGCTCTGGGATAATATGCTTGTCTGCTTCATTGATTTTGGTTGAAATTTGTTTACATCAATAACCTAATTTCCATAAATATTAATATGTTATTTTTAGCATTTCTGCATATATTTGAAGAACCACAAAATTGGGATTGCACCACTGACTGGATTATTCATGCATATTAATTATGTAATTTGTATAACAATTTGTATATAGGAACAGCTATTAGATTTAAATTTGGTACATATCTGCTTTGGGGTAACCTGTGGACACGATTTGTTTTTGGTTCAAATCCATTCATATCATAATTATTCATTAATTCATAATTATCGGTACTCAATTTGCATATTGAATATCTAATGTTTAGTTATCTTGGTATATGTGAACATTTGAAATGAAATTTGATTCATGATAGGGAATCCACAGAGCTGTATTGTTTGGATATTAATTACCCATTTAGCTTAATAATTGGCTATATTTTCCATTTGATACATTTCAAAAAACTTGTTGTTATTGGGTTTAATGCCAAGTAGATAATCATGTTGTCCAAATTTCAATACATTAGTGTGTAATTTCTATCATACAAATTACATGTAATGTGCGTAAAATTACAGAGATAAAAAACTGCATTGTGTGATCGAAGTGAGAACGCCACCAGTGTCTGGAGTGTGTAGCTGGGAGCTAACGTTCGTTTTGCTACTCTCTAGGAGAGTTAGTAAATAATGACTGGTTAGGGGGCTTTAGAAAGAAAAGCAAAATGGCGGATTTTTCGTCTGTTCTTTTCAGGACACTCAGTGCCCGTGCTTTCACTGTGTAGTTTTGTCAACATTCAACTATACGATGGGGGAAACCGTCAGAACAAAGACGAAATTATTGACACACTTCTCTGCTGCAGCTACTGGGTGTATTGTTTTTCCAGGGTGTCTTGGAGTATTTCAACATTTTGTATTCCGGCCGTTGTGTTTATCGTCAGCCAGCGGTCTGGCGTCTGCTTGCGGTCTTGTATCGGTTTCCGGGTCGGGAATGGTCGCTTCAGTAGCTGTAATTGGATCTTTTGCAGTCTGCAAACAATTTATGCAAACTGAAATGACCGATACAACTGAAAATGGTAAGCAAAAATGAACACAAAAATGAAAAAAACATAATTGTGTACAGTGCCTGCATTCATCAGCTGGTCTTTTGCTTCTATTATAACAATGTCACGATATTCCCTCCAGGTCTTCGCGTTTGTGGTCTAAGGGATGGTGCAATCACCGTGTGTTGAGGGACGGTGGTGCAATTAAAACCCTGGCTGCATTAAAATGACACTGTTCGTATGATGCGTACATGTGTACTCCACTTATAGAAAATACTTTTACATTGAAAGTTAAAACTGTACATCCAGAACCTGAAATAAACAATCTTGGCGTGAGACAATTATGAAGAAAAAATTTTAAAATCAGAAATCGCAAAATTTACAGCCCTCTAGATTGCGACCGTTTTGGTCACCATGGCAATTAAAAAAATATCTAGGTCACAATTTGAAAACCTAAAAAATAAATTATACAGCTTGTCAACTGTAGTGGGGCACATCTACTTATTTTATATAACCTAATAAATTCTGGCAACCAACTTTTTTGCATTTAGCTACTAAAGTTTCCAGTTGGCCACCAACAATTTGAGCTTGGTTGCCAATGATCACTAAGGAAAAATATACTTTGTGGACTGAGCTCTGTTATTATCTGGCTAAACAATTCCTGTGTACATTTTGGTACAAGGCGGGATATAACTTGACAATGTCACATGAGTTGCGTCCTCCGCGGTGCCCCAAACCTAGCTGTGGAATCATAGCTTTATGTTGCCGACCGCATTATTGACGTGACTGACTCTAGCCGGCTCATATACAACAACAAAATTACAAAGAAGACGTCCAAATGAAATTGTTAAAGCAAAATTCGATTGTAGGTCGCACCAAAGAGCTCTGGAACCGCAGCTACTCCAAACCCTACACACGCCTGACAGAACGATGTAGTTTTTCACTTCCCCTGATGATTTTTAGTTTTCAAAGAATGACCATTCACATGAGTTTTTTTGTTTGTTGACATAATGTGTGGTAAGTCGCCAGCAAATTTCCGCCAATTATTAATCATCTTGTTGAAAACAGACTGATTTTTGCCGACAATGCAAACTCAACTTTGATTGCCAGTGTTACCATGACCAGTAAATTGAATATTCATTGAAACTCATTGCAAGAAGACTTGAATTTGCAGTATTGATCTTGCCAACGAGACATATCAGGCATTAGTTGAGTCTGATGCAATTGGGCCGGCGAGAGCGCCACTCCTGCCTAATCATCAGGCTAGGCAGATTAGTGCACTGTACAACAGACATGTACACAGGGCCAACATGGTGTAAGATGTAGGCCTGATAAATTACTGATATTACAATAGTATTTAGGATGCAGCTGCACTAAATTATACAACAATTAATACATTAGTAATTGAATCATATAAATGTATTCTCTATTTTAGAGCAGTTACCTGGCATGAAGGACTGGTATTCAATGCCCATATATGGTATGATAACTGTAGTGATATTTAAATTATTTGGTGGGAGATTTAAGTCTGTATTACCCAGTCATCTTCTTAAACCAGGTATGTACAAATTACTGATGCGATTATACTTAGGCTGAGAAAAAAAATATCTGTTTCTCTTTCCCGCCGCATCATTGTGAACTATGCGCCTCGGACGTTTTTTTTCTTCCCAAAGCATTCAAAAATGCGCTTGTACTTGGACTTGTCTCAAATTTCCCCAATTTTAGCTCAGTATTAAAAAAAAAAAAAATGCCTCGCCGCGCCTCATTTTAAAATTTATCTGAAACGAGAAACAGAGAATTTTTGTTTCCTGGCCTTATAAAGCTTGTAGTGTTACTGTGTTACACAATGTTTCTGAAATCTTTGTTATAAATCTTACATTTGTTATTTAACCTTTTTTTCATTCAGGTGCCTTTGCTAGGGTCTCCTCAAGCGCAAGTCTTAGATATGCAGATTCTGCTAAAAGAAAAGTAATCCAGGGGTTAGGCAACCAATATGGCTGCCATACCTGTGGTGCATGGTTTAGAGTATCCAAGTATATCGCTGATCACCAACCGCCATTGGCAGTGAGTATTTACTGGTACCTAAACTAATTACCGTATTACCTGTATTCTGTAAAATACTTTATTTCGCTTGGAATTTATTTTCGCTATTTTCGATAAAGGAATTATTCAGTGAAAATAAAATCCAGGTTCAACTCCTCTAAAATCTGTGAAAATAAATTCCATACAAAACACCCAAAATGTCTTTTCAGCGAAAATTAATTCCAGCTAAAATAAAGTATTTTACAGTAGTTTTAAAAATTGTGGTATTGATTTAAACTCCAAGAACTGTCATTGGAAAACTGACTAAATTATATGTCAATTTTTTGAAATGTTTTAACAATGGTAGTACCGATAATATACAACTTTTTTATCAGATGTCACTGAGCAAATATTTGAAATATGAAAAAAATAATCACTATAGAAACTAGTGTAAAAATGCCAATAATTATAAACACAGTACGATCAACATGACATACATGTATAATTTCAATTCTGATCAAACCTTCTTACTGTGGACATGAGGTGGTTCAAAGTGTTTCAAATTGATCTCCAGACATCAACAGAGGCATTTGTTAGCAAGTTTGCTGACGATGTTGGTAATTAGGTGTTCCTTTCATTCACGCATCCACAATAATATGCAGTATCAAGTTTACTGAAATGTAGCAGATGCTTTACGTATATATCTGGCTCTGTCTAATTTCAGTTGTACAAAAATGTAATATCAAATTTACATTCTGTGAAATGTTTTATGTGTAACATCATATTTTTTTTTATTTCAGATAGTATACAATAAAATTAAATCTGGAGGACAGTTTCAAAAGCAGAAGTTCTTTCCACATTGTTCTAAATGTGCTGCTAATCAAATGAAGTGCATTGTACAACAAATAAAAGACAAGCACTGGTAACCCATGCCACATCACTCAGAAGATATCATTTGTTTTTACCACTGCCATTATTACTGCCGCCAGAAAGTTTACAATTTATATGGGACATCTTGCCATACAGCTGAAAGTTGTTTTTCTGAATTTAGAAAAAAAGTTCTACACTGAGAATAAATATTAATATTCCGGTCAACGTGGGCATCAGTTAAAAACATGTGCATTCACAGATTTTTTTGGCTTTTTGTCAGAATTATTCAAAAAATTCAAAGAAAACTTTAGTTTTTATTATAATTTATAATTCATGTAAAAGCAATAATCTAATGACAATTTTGCAATGAGAATAAAAAGATTTTCCACAAATTGATTTAAAAAAAACAAAAACAATGACCAGTCACTTTCATTCACTTCAACTGCTTACATTTTTGGAAGACATATTTTCGTGAACGACATTTCATAGTAGTGCAGGTTTCACAGAATAAACTAGAAAGTAGCTTCACATTGACTTGTAAATCGGTCAATGTTTGATGGAAACCTACAAAGACTCGTGGGTAATGGATTCTATATATTCAATAAAAGCGTCTTAATTCTTCAGATTTGAAGAACAGGAATCTTCTGGGGTAAAAATAATTTTCCATAATAACATTCATGCCTTAATGTAATTTACTGTATTTTTAATAAATATTTAACTATATATCATGGACATCTTCAATAAGAATTGAATGTGAAGTGTGTGGTTGACATTAAAATAATGAAATACTGTTAAATTTGATGTCAGTCAAATATTAGATGATCATTGGGTTGTGAAGCTTGATATTACCCTCCAACATATGACAGTTAACATTTTTATTAAACTATGGTCATTTTCTTTTTTGTTGAGCTCAAATAAAGGGGTAGCTATTGTTTGTCGAAATCTTGTTCCATCATTACCTTGAGCCACAGATTTAATTGCAATGAAATTTGATGGTCTTCAAATCAGATTATTGTTATTATTGAAATTATCATTTTATCACATGTCTGTATTGTTACAACAATTTTCTTAAATTGAAATTTGGTACAAGCATCATACTGTACGTTACATTACTTTATTTAATATTTCATCAATGATTGAAATAAGATGCTTTTTTTGGCTTTTTTTCATTTTTTTTCTTAATTTAATTTAATTTTTATTCTGATCTATTATTTATTTGTTAATAGTTTTTTTAAAGTTTTGTTAATTGCGAATGCCAAACAAGGCAATAGCTAAAAATATACTGAATCACAAGTTCATAACAAAAAACATAAAAAAATAGCAAAATAAATAAATAAAATAAAATACACTCCGTACAATACATCAGATTTTTATCAGATTGATATTTCATTGAATACAAAGCCCACAAATTGGGAAAATCCGGCCATATGCAAATATGTAGCGACCTTCCGTGCTGTGTTCCTTTTTCTGATTGGTCAAGTTGTATGTAAATTAAACGTGGCAGCCAATAGCAGCTCGCGTTATTTTTTTATTTTCACGTGATCATTACGTCAGTTTTGTTTTTATTTTGCTGAAGACCCAGAACAATCCAGTCTAGGTCGAGCGGGAAAAGAATCCTACAAAACTCGATTTATTAAGGATTTGAACCGCATTTGAAGTTCATAATAATAATTCGCGGATAAAACGCCTTACCTGAGTTACCGCCACCAACATGAAGGGCGATATCATAAAAAAGGACGAAAACAAAGGAAAGGTAAGTCGATGTAGTGTTCAAGACGATTTCTAATCAGATTGTGATGCGATATTATGTGTGCAAACAACACGAGGACTCTTTCTAAAGCTGTCAAACCATTTAATAACGAAGGCTGTTTTACCAGGGTTCGTCGGAGCTGCTAGTAACCCTAGATTTCAGGCTGTCACCTTCACCCGTTCGCAGTGTTGTCAGTGACATATTTTGTTGTTATCGGGTAAATAGGTCATTCTGGCATGTTTAACGACTGCGACACACATCGAAATTAAAGTGTACTGGTGAACCATGGAACTAAACATTTTTTTTTAGCTCCATGGGTGAACAGACATTTGTTTTCATGGTGTCAACCTCAACCCTAATACCGTCGAGGGGTCCAAACGTCGAGGGGTCCAAACGGCAGGAAAAACTGCTTTGTAATATATTGCTTATAATCATGACTTTTAAAAAACGCATTGCCTCTTAAAAATAAATGATTGAATTTCTTTTGCATGTAGTAATTTACTTGGGAATCAAGAACTAAATTAAAAGGTTACAGCTTTTGTGGGTTGTAACAACGCAATCCTGTCGTGCATTGCAATTTTCATTTCTGCTTTGAGTGCTTGCTAGACATAAATGACCTTTGTTCCATGTACAGGTCTGTGAATATCGGGGGGGGGGGGGTGTATTTTTATTGAGACCAGGCTGAGGAATTTGAAAATCATGCCTCAATGCACTACCTGAATTAAAGTTATTCAGGTAGGTAAGTAATGTATTGAGGAAATTGCCTCCATGGCATGAATTTCAAGCCCTGAACATATTATTCTAATTAGCTAAATTGGCTATATTTAGTCGTGAGCTTTATTTTTTTTTTAATTGGTCTATTGTTTATTTTGCCTTTTGTCATGCCTCTTAAGGATGCTGTACACCTTTTTTTGCTTTGAAACCCAAAATTCTACTTTTTTGTATTTTTCAATGCTGGACTACAAGGAGCAAACACTCAGTAGGAAAAAAAGTGAATTGGATGTTTTTATAGGGTGTAAAAATCAATTTTTGTTAATTAAAAACAAAAGCACATGTCATTGTTTTGAAAGCTATGTTTTAATTAATCAGCCAAAGACATAATAGACAGATAATTTGCATAATAGTCACCACCCATAGCAAATATAAACAGTCTCTTGCATTCAGTACAAGCTCAGACTAGTAATACAAGTATTAGTAGTCCGAGGTACAAGTTACACGCATTCCATTTACGATCGTCCACAAATTTAATTTCGTTGAATTTCTCGCTCTTCAAGCAGTCGACTATGAAACCGTCTTGGGGTCGACTATGACAGTGATGAAAGAAAACGAATGCAAGGAAATTTGGAGAAGAACGTAGACAGTATGTAAAGCGATTATTATGAAAATTTAATCATGGAAGGTACCTTCCACGATTTAATTGATCAGACCATGGAAGTATAAACAGAAGGTAGAAAATTTGAGCACATGGCAGACTTAGTTTTCGTGACTAAATTACGTGTCATGGACTCCGACCACAATGAGTCGGAGTGA